CAGAAAGAAAGATCCGGTTTTATTAAGCAAGGACATGTGTCGCTAAAGTTTCGTCGGAACGAAGTTACGGAACATCAATTAACAAACGGAGACGTAACAGTATTAAAAACTTTAATGTTAGTGTCTCGTTTATAAGAAATTAGAGGTTTGTTAGGGAACACGTGACCAGTGGTATTGTCCTGTGTTATGATCTTGAAGTTATCAAACAATACATGTGTTATTTGTGTGTTGAATGGGTGAAATGTAAGTGTTGATGATCAGTGGAAGTAGGAGTACATGGGTTGAAGCAACATTGGACGCATGTAGTTGGAAGTTTAGAATTGTCTATAGTGTTGGTGTTATAATTACTGGTTATGATTTAAGCTAAGCAAATTATGGAAAACTAAATTCAGACATTTATTGTTAGTATGTAGATTATCTTTAGTGTGATGAAGAAGTATGGTTGCCACATTTTTTGAAAAAGTGGAGCATGTTGATAGTCGGTTTGTTTTCATTATAGCTATATGAAGGACTCGTTCTTTTTGTTCAATTCGTTCAATTCTTTCACCAACCACCCAATACACGTCTTCTGTTTTGTAGTAAACTATTTCATGAAAGTGTAAGTTTGACAAAAGATGAGATTTGCTTGTATTTACTTTACAGTTCTGTAGATACTTTAAAGTCAAACCTCTCCACATGGAACTAATGAGTTATAGTATTTCTTTGCTTCACACAATTAGTTTGGTTTTGTAATTCCATTTCCATTATTCAAGGCACCAAGTTGCTTCAGTGGTTTTGGCTGTATAACATATCTACACTGTCTATATATATATATTGTATATTTATGTTTATTTACCCAAAACATTAAATTCCTTATGTAGAATAAATGTTTCTCAAGTAAAACAGTGTGCAAACAAACTAGTTTGGATGTATGAAATAGATTTTTATAAAATATAGGCAAATAAGAGAACTTTTTTATAGGATGTATGAAAATGTGTTTAGACATGGAAGTAACTTGACATTTGGAAATTACTCAACGTTGATTTGTAATAGAGTAACGTCTTCTAGTATAATACTCATTTCACACAGTTGTATCTGAAATTAAATATTTCTCTCTCTGAATGTTGAAAGCAGTGCTACAAAAATAATTTTTAAGATTCTAATTTAAACCTTGTCCACTTTTGATTGTACAGTTTGAACTTTTTTTTCTTCTGTTCAATTACTAACATTCTAGAAAGAGTCCAGTTA